AGAGAGAGAGAGAGAGAGAGAGAGAGAGAGAGAGAGAGAGAGAGAGGGCTTGGTGACATTGGATCCAGACTCGACATGGGACTTCAGACATTTTGAAGAGGGATTATTTGGGACTTGTAACGAGACTTGGTGTTGACGACTTTCCCATCTCCCCTTCCTCTTCTTCGTCGGATCCCCTCGTCTTCGTCTGTGTATGTCTGGACCTAGCGCTTCATTCCTGTGTATAGCGCCAGACCCCTTCACACCTTGTAATGAGCATGATGTATGTTTGTGTTGAAACATTGATTGGGTTGCGTTGAAACATTGATTGGGCTAGTCATTTGTATTCTAGCATTCTGCTTCGCTATCCTGTACAGCAGCTCCCGGTTTCGGATTCTACATCGACTTCCGACATCAATGATTTTCTTCAGTACCATGGTGCATGTCGCAGTGTTCCGAACTTATACTCGGCTTCCGTGCTTCTCCTAGTCCGGCTACTTCGACCCGACTTCGGCTTCGAGCTTCATCAATTGGACTACTTCATTCCTCCCTCCGCCACGGAGTTTCCCTCATTCCCACCCATCCCTCATCTTCGAGCTTACTCTGCAGTTGCATAATAACCCCTATTCAACCTACTCATGTGGGTTTGTCCGTTTGCCGCCCTTTTGCCTTACCTTATGTTGCGCGCCCTCCTCTGGAGTGTACGTTTTCTTTGCTCGCGGCTTTTGCCCACAGTCTATGCCGACATAACCCTCTCTCCTTCCAGGCTCAACTTATGTGTGCTCCCTTATGTGAGTGCCCTTCCTCTTTCAGCTGGCGGTACCCGTTTGATGGTTTCCATTGAGCCCGGTGTCGTGCTGTTACTCCCCCTCGGAGCCTGATGACCCTTACCTGGTTGTGTGGGTACCCCCTTGGAGTTTACTCTTAGAGCTGTACCTGCCACCTTCCCATCCATTCCTACCTCTCCCATGCGACTGAGTTCCCTTCTCTTTTGTTCATGTATTATGCATTGTGTATAGGGCACGTGAGACTGTGCCGCATTCTTTTTCGACTTAGGACATTGGTTTAGCTATTCTTTGGCCTTTAGGGCTCCAGTGTTGATTTATATTCTGCCACTTTGGCTTCCGATACATTTTCTTTTTCTTGGCCGACACAAACATTTTTCTCTTTCTTGGCCAACACAGGTTAGACATTTTTATGCTTTTTGGGTCGACTCGGAGCAGACATTTTTGCATAGATTAGGCTTGAGGCTTAGCCTGCATTGCATCTCATTTTCTGCATGGAGCTTGCTCCGCATCTAGGATCATTTTCTTTGACGTTCCTTTTGGGTTTCCGCTATTTCAGCGGATAACGTGTTTGATGTATCGCTTGATCCATTCACAGGTCTGAGGATTGTGTAGCGGTACCCCTACAGCTCGACAGTGAGGCCGGACCAGTTTCAGGCCGTCGGCCTTACCTTGGTCCGGTACCAGGTTGTTCCCGTACCTGGACCTAGACCGGTATATCACTTCGGCCTAGGCCCAGGTCCAGGCAGTTAGTGGGTTCATTCTTTCAGTGGTTTGTTCTTTCATGGAGCCGGACATGACCTTGACTCAGTTGTTGCTTCTCGTGTGTGTCCGCACGTGCCCTCCACACGTGCGTCACAATCAGGGTGGTTGGGATCTTTAAATAAGTAAAAAGCTGAGGATGGTTGGGATTTTTAAATAAGTAAAAATCTCATCCAGTTTGGAGGGAGATGTCATCCAGCTTCTTGGAAAACGCTGAGTGGCTGCTCTCTAGACCAGTGATCCTCTCGTCCTAGTTAGTAAAATAAGAACGGTGAAT